ACCAACACCCTGCCAAAAAAGTAGGCACAAGACATCATGACAATACCTGTGGTCCAAGCATTGGCATTGGTCACTGTTTCTGCCTGGGATTGCAAAGATGTCCGCATAACCTGAGCCATGCTAGGAGCTGACTATTGCTGGACTGATTGCTGACTTATCTGCTTGGTAATGTCATTCAAACTGGTTTTCAAACAATAGCTGCAGCAGAAGCAATGCTGACAGAAGATCAGTATCAAAGGACTCAAGGACCCAATCAAGTGAGACCTTTTCCATGAAAAACTGGCAAGTTTCAATCAACAACAATGGGAGAATGTTGGCAGCACTTGGGGTGCCTTCAAGTCCACTGTCATCAGTGGCTGGAAAGACATTCTTGGATTCTCTACCAGGAAACATCAAGGCAGGTTTCATGAGAATGACAAGGAGATGCAAGTGTTGATCAACTACAAGCACAAGGCCTTATGTGCTTGGAAAAATGACATCAACTCCAAGCAAAAGAAATGGAATCACCAACAAGCCAAGGCAAAAGTCCAAAGGCGAATGCAATATGAAGAACAGATGGTGGGAAGACAAGGCAAAGGAGATTCAACATCTTACTGACATCTGTGATATGCACAGTTTTTTTCAGGCCACCAAAGCCATCTGTGGTCCAAACACTCAGAGACCAATGCCCTTGAGATGCAAGGATGGAGGAGACCTGATGAAAGAAATAAGAGCCATCAATGCCTGTTGGAAGGAACACTTTGAATACCTTTTCAGTCAAGACCCTATTGTTGCCAAGAGTGTTCTCAACTCCATCCTGCAACACCCAGTCAGAAATGATTTTGGAATCCCTCCAACCCTTGACAAGGTGAGGAAAGACATCAAGCAGATGAAGAATGACAAGGCTTCTGGAGCTGGTGGAATTCCTATTTAAATCTTCAAGCAGGGGGGAGAGGAGCTCATATCAAAGCTCCATGCCCTCATCTTAAGGATCTGGAATGATAAGGAAATCCCAGATGACCTCAGGCACACGATGATCATGATAATCTTTGGGAAACAAATATGACTATGAAAATTACAGAGGGATTGCCTTGCTGTCCGCCACAAGAAAGATCATTTTGAGAACCCTCCTGAACATTCTCCTTCCACTTGCTAAAGAGCTCCTCCTGGAATCTCAATGTGGGTTTAGGGCATCTGGAGGCACAACTGACATGATCTTCAAAGCTTGTCAGCTGCAGGAAAAATGTCAGGAACAATATAAACCGCTCTACATGGCCTTCTTTGACCTCACAAAAGCCCTTGATTCTGTCAGCTGAGAAGCGCTGTGTAGGATTCTTCTGAAGTGTGGATTCCCACCAAAATTCATCACCATTCTCTGCCTGCTTTATGATGGTATGTGAACAGTAGTTTTCAATAATGGATCTATCACCAATCCCTTTGAGTTTAAGATGGGAGGTAAGCAAGGCTGTCTCATCGCTGCAACACTCTTCTTGATATTTCTTGCTGCGATGCCACATCTGACCACCAACAAGCTTCTAGCTGGAGTGAAGATGAAACTATGAAATTAAGTTAAACTACTGAATGGATGGTAAGTTGTTCAATATCAGCTGACTCCAAGCCAAAACCAAGACCACCCAGACCACAAGTCATTCAGCTTCAGTAGGCTGATGATGCTGTAGTTTGTACTCATTCACAAGCAGACCATCAGGCAAATTGTTGAAGTCTTTACTGAGGCATATGAGAAAAAGGAACTGACGCGTAACATTCAGAAGACTAATGCCCTCCATCAACAAGCACTTAATGAACAGTCCCCAGCTCCACTAATTCAGCTTCACGGTGAGACTCTGGAGAACATTGAGTATTTCCCATACTTTGGAAGCCATCTCTCACAGAAGGCTGTCATCTGTGAAGAAATCCAACATTGCATCCAAGTGCAGCCTTTGGATGGCTGAGGAAATGGTTGTTTGAAGATCATGACATCAAATCCGAAACCAAGCTTATGGTTTATCAAGCAATCATGATACCTCCCTTCCTGTACGGAGCTGAGACATGGACAAGATACATGAGAGACCTCAAGTCATTGGAGAAATACCATCAGTGCTGCCAGTGGAAGATCCTTCAAATCCAGTGGGAAGACAGATGCACCTACATTAGCGTTGTCTCGCAAGAAAACAGCACAAACATTGAGGCGATGATCATCCAACATCAACTTCGCTAAGCCAGCCATGTCATCCAGATATCCACCTCCAGACTCCCAAAGCAAGTTTTATTCTCCCAGCTCAGTCAAGACATATGAACTCTCAAGAGGAGGGCAGAGAAAGCACTTCAAGGATGTCCTCAAGGCCAACTTAAAAAATGCAACATCGGTATCAACCCATGGGAGCCTATCACCGAGGACTGCCCCAAATGGAGGAAGAGTCCACTGCAAAGATCTCAATACTTTGAAACCTTATGATGGTAGCAGGAGACAGAAAAAAGGGAGTGGCAGAAACAGTGTCACGGACCGAACCAAGGACCCAGGACCTTGCATGGAAACATGTGCCTGAGCTACAACAGTGTGTCGATTCTGGATAGGCCTCATCAGCCATCTTTGGACCCACGGATAAGACAAAAATGGAAGGCAGTTGAGAAAGATTGATGATGATGACCCCTGGGAATTTCTCTCGCCCCTCCCACTGCTATACATTCCTATGCTTTGCATAGCTCATTGCAATCCCGTTACTCTTAGTTACCATGTTGTACCACCAAAAATAATTCCTCTCCTTTTTATTTATGTACTCCTGCTAAAATCAGTGGTAAAACATAATCTCCCTGGGGAGTATTCAGGGAGAAGGTTGCTATGACCACAGCTTGGGTAACACTTTGTTTCTTCTGTCCCTTTATAAATTCTGGATCCTTGCCCTGGACACCAGATTTCCTTTCCAGCTCTGCTACTATAGACTAGCTATAGTTTCTAGGTTTCATTTTTTTCTCTTTGTACAGTGGATACTGTACAGCTTTGCTACCCCATTAAGCTTGTAAGGCTAGTTTCATTTTTTCTAATGCACTTTGAAGCCTTCAGGTAAAAGCACTATGGAATGACTTAACTGTATTAATGCAATGACTGGGCAATATCCAGATACCTGATTTTTGTTCTTGAGACCAGCATCTGCCAAGTTACTGTTCATTTGAACATAATCTTATCTTATTGCTTGATTAGTTAACTAAATTAGAACCAGACTACTAAAGATGCTTTGGTGTTCCCCATTTTATTCTTTTATTTTGAATTCTTTTGAGTAAAATTATTACTGGTTAAAGGTGCTGTGTTGTGATTCCTGAAAAGCCATATTCATTTTCAGACCATAAGCTGGTCACGCTTTCTCATGCTGCACCCTGCTACTGTGCTTCAACATCTGTTATGAAAGGACCATTTCAAGAGATGAGAACGTTGTTCAGCCCCAGGGCCCACCCAGTGCTTTGCTAAGAGTTGCAGTAAATGTAGCCTTGAAACTGTGATGCCTTTTGTTTTAAGGTATTGCATCTTTGTATTTCTAAAAACTCACAGTGTAGATAGTGTTCAGCAGCCATTTTGTTCTCATTGTTTTTGTAGCCTGTACAGACACAGACAGAAGTAGAGTCTGAGAGAGAACACTGTGCATCTCCTCCCTTCTATATTACAGCAAATCTGAGAACAAAATAGTAACTGGATTTTGCACACAGCAAAAACTCTTAAAAAATAAAATATGATACGTTTGAATCAAAAGGCAGTACAGTTTCATAGTTACACCTAAAGGGCCAATGAAGACAGTGCTTTTTGTCATGTGGACTCTTGTCTACAGAAACTGAGACCAACTCCTTTTACACAGGTCACCAAATAGCCATGAAAAACATCTTTTTGTCGCTAAAAGTTGGATCTGGATTTGAATCAGTGACCCAGAGATGAACTGTTCCATATCCCTTTGCCAATCAGCTCAGCCATATAGGTGTCCAAGGAGTACTATTTTTGTATCTTGCATTTTTTTATCATCCAATTATGACTTACTGTACATTGGGTATAGAGTTATACATCTCTTTTGAAGTGTGTGGGTGAATATCTTACCAGATGCACTTTGTAGGCCTCTCTTAGGAGTTCAGATGGTGCTGAATTAGAATTTCTGAGGATCTGTCAAAAAACTAATATATAAAAGAAAACCCCAAACATCAATACCAAGAATAGAAAACCCAAACCTCTAAAGCTTCCTGGTTGTAAGGCAAATGAAGAAGTGTGTGTTTCGGCTACATTGCCAGCAGGTGGACTGTGACAGATCTTATAGACCTCGCACTTCCTGTGGAGGCAGCCAGAAGAACAAAGCCAGTAGAGGTGCCTTTTCTCCTCATCGTCCCACTAGCTGCTAAATCGTGGCCTCTGGCCCCCCAACACAATCCAGGGGGAGCAAGATGAAGTGGAAAGGGATTGTTATCTCCGCCATCCTGCAGGCACAGCTCCCAATTACAGGTAAGGCAGGCTTTTCATATTACAAGGACTTATTTTAAAACTCTTTTGAGGTGGAGAAAGAACACAATGTTTCTGTCAGATCCCCGCCCATCTGGCACCAGTAGAGTATCGCTATGTGAACCTCTACCATCCCTGTCCTCCTAATTATGACTAGTTATGCACTAGTTCAGAACCGGGGCTGCAAGACTTGCCAAAAATGAGGTCTTTGCTATATAAAAAAAATCCTTTGGATGGTGGGGAGGGGAGAAGGAAGAACAGCAGCAGCTACCTGCCATTGATAAGGCCTGCCTTTGTTGTGTCAGAACAAAAGACGTGACAGCTGAATATCATTTTGTAATTAAACAGGGTTTCTGAGCATCACCCCAACACCTCTCTCTCTTGTATTTAAGAAATAAAAAGTTGATATGCTGAGTGCAACCGCTTCCAATAAGCTGCCTGAAAGAGGCCTTTCATTTTGCTAGATACAGTTATTGGTGCTTTCGTCTTAAGGGCCACTTGGGTGTTTGAGAAATGCCACACCCTAGCAGTTCAGAGGTCGCTGTCATGATATTAGGAGAAAAGTAGAGGCAGTTATTTCTTTTACCCCCCATCTTGTTACCTTTCTGTATCTTTGCCTTCAGCAGTCACAACTAATTACAGTGAGTAAAATTTTCTTCACTTTCTGTACTTACTCCGTGGTTGTGTATGAATCGATCTAGTTTGAGCTGACAGTGGAGTGGAGTGAGTTTGGCATGTCCGAACTTCCATAAATTAAGTTAACACTGAGATGTTCTTGTAATCTATTCAGATTTATAAACTAAGTGAATGTATGTGACAGATACAGCACTCTTATGAGAAGTTTTGAGGACCTCTACATATTTTCAAATATACAAAGTTTCTGGCAGTTAGTGAAAAATCCAGCATACTCGCTAACATGGTGGGATAAGCTCCAGTTAATTTGTGGATTTTTCACTACATTAGCATTATCTACATTAAGTATCCACCCTTACATCTGTGTTACTATGCAAACAAATGTGCCTATTATAATATTTATATGCATGCACATAAATTGCACTGTGTTCATAAGTAAGTGTAAGATAACTTCAATGAGTAGGAAAAGTGCTTTTCCCCAGTCCTATATAGAATAATTTGAAAATGATGTTCCAAGGGATGGCAATCTTATTTTTATAGATGCATGAAGATCTGGAAGCAACTTAAGGGTAGAAACTGTCTGAAAAGGTCCTTTTCCTGATGATCCTCTTTCTTTTTCTTTTTTTTTTAATACATAGAATATCAATATTTAGCATGTTTCAAGTTCGTATTGTACTTTTCTTTTTAGCAAAAAAGCCATATTAAAGGAAATATATCAGGCAATGTAATAAAATCTGGACATTTCTTAAGCACCAGTCCTATCAAGACCTTTCTGTGGAAAAATCTTGGGAATAGCCATACTCACAGGAAGAAACTATTTGAGAATAATACACAGCACACCAAATTTTCATATACAGTTCCCATTAACTTAAATAGAGCTAGTTGTTTATGTAACTAAGGGCAGAGTTTTTGGATGGATTTTATAATATTAGATAAACCTTTTCAGTTTAGGATTAAATGCAGAGTTAGAGTAAGGATTCATTAAATCATTCTACTGATGTATTGATACACTAATAAAGATGGGAAGTCCAAACCACTAATCTAGGTTAAACCTTTTAACAGGCAAGTGAATTTCTAGGAACAGACTACGGATCCTAAATTAAGAGTCTGTACAGTTGAATTACGTATTGAATGTGTGTTGAATGTGCTGTTGGCATGTTCTTAGAGAGAAGTATGTCTTTATGTAGAACAGGGTCACTGTAAGTCATGATGTGGAATTTTCAGTGGCATATTACAATGTATTCAAACCATGGTGCTCAGGATTTTCAATTTACTTTATTATAATAAGGCTTGGTTTTCTCACAAACCACTGTAGGGAGATTTTTTTTCTTGTACAGCTAGTCCACCAAAAGGTGCTGGCTCCAGGAATGGTCCTTGTTGCTCTTGACAGCATTGAACTAAATGCGCCAAGCAATAGAACCCGTTTTTAAAAGAATAATCCTAGAAGTCTACCAGGTCTACAAAGTTCTGATTACAAATTCCAGATGTTGAGTGGTCAGTTCATGCCCACAAATTTGAAGGCGGTTGGCGCTGGAGTTTGACGAATTACAGGGAGAGGAGCTGCTGCTGAAATTCAGACCCAGGTTCAAATTCTGATTCGAAGAGGTCAGGAGTGCTGTCTCTAGAGGGCCTAGTTCAGGCCTCTAAATGTTTCATTAGAGGGAATTTATCAAAGAAAATAAATGCACACTGACACTCTAAGCCGGGCCATTTTGTTTATTCTGCTGTTTAGGGAAATTTAAAAGATATTTTTTCTACTTATAGTAAAAGGACCCCCCAAACAAAAAGCTTCTGCAGTATTGCAGTAGCGATATGGCAGTGTTTGAGGCAATATTTTACAGCTAGTGCCTTTATTTTTCTGTAAGGGAGAACAGGTTAATTTGATATCCATGTGCAAGAGTTCTAAAAGGGCTCTCCTTCCCCGTTTTCCACTCTTTCTTGGATTCAGTCTCAAATCCTGTATTAAACATAACAAGGCACCAGACTATTTTTGCCAGCTTTGTCGAAGCTAGAATGTGTCCACCCTTGATAGATGTTGCCTGAAGTCACTCAGTATTTTGCCGTCCTGTGTAATCATCTCTTCTACCCATAGGATAACATGAGACCCAGGAGCCTTTGGTTAATCACCACACAGGCAACAGGAAGAAATGGGCAGGGTTGTGTTTTTAAGGTTCTTTTCTTCATTCCTTAGAAGTTTATCTAAAAGACCTGCATTAAAAAGAAAACACTTTACAAGTATATACAGGATACTGAAACAAATGTAAAGGCCGACTATTTTTGGTTACCACTCTCCGCACTGTCTGTGCTGTCTTGGTGCTACCAGAAAACCCTACAAGGGACTTAATTTTATAGTACTGTGCTTTTTTTTCTGTTCACAATGATTCATTAATAATTCATGACAAAAACTCAGAATTGGGAGGTTACTGTATCAGAGAAAATGCAGGCAAATGCAGCCTTTCTTTGTTAAGGGCCATTTGTTAAGCTTCAGCAGTGAAATGTTCTATTTCTTTAGTGATTGTTAATGTTATATGGCAAGTGCTTTCTGTTAAAACACTTGTATGCTAAATTCCTAATGAGTGAGAGAACAGGTTAATGATCACACTCCTGCCTTTTGAGTGCTCCCTGTATGGAGAGTGTATTGAAAATGGAAGGAGCCTTTTGAAAATATATACTTTTCCATTATAAGTTTACCCTTGTTAGATTGTATTATGGAAAGAGGGGCCGAGTCTTTGCCTCAGGAAAACAATGGGAAATTTGGTAAGGACTTCAATAGGATTTAGTTAGTGGTTATAAATTCCTATAACATGCACTTTTGATGCTGGTTCTTTGTGGTATTCTCTTATATAATTTAACATATCCTTATACAATGCTTTGAAATATAAAAATTCCAAAATAGTTTTGAACCTCAAAAAATAGCATCTGAATTCTAATTAATTCCATGTTTAAACCAGTGATAATTTTACCATTCTTCCTAACTTGAAATTATAGTCCAAAAACTATTCCTCAGCCCCAACAATGAAACGGACAATTGGTCCAGAACTTGGAGTTTTGTAGACCCATAAAATACATCAGTGAAGGAACAGAGGGGGATACATTAAATAAAGTATATAGTATATCTGCTGTATTAATACAGCACAGATAAAAGACATGAAATTAAAAAAAAGAGTATTTTAGCTGCTAAAAACATCTGTTTTGTGTGTTCATATGTGCGTATATAAAATATTTCATTATTGTATAAACCTGACAATAATCAAAAGCAACATTAAAATTTTACTGATACTTTTTTATTGCTAAAAATAGTTTATGCTTTCCTTGAACCTTGGAGAAGCTGAGTTTTTACAGGCTTTTCTGATGTGCATTAATGTATTTCCTGACATTTAGAGACTAGCTTTGGCTATAGTTCTGTTAATTAAAATTCAATTCTTCCCCTTTTAAAAAGAAAAAGTACATGTAATTTGTACCCTTTAAGGGATGACCTTTAGAACCAACTTTTTCAAAGAGGGAGCTAAAGGTATGTTATATGAAACTCAATATTGCCATATGCAACTGGTTAATATTTACATATACAAACCAGATATATGTGCTTTCAGACAGATTGTTGAGTTTTCAGTTCCCCATTCTGCAAATGCAAATATTTATTGAATGCACAACACCGGACAGTGAGTGTGTAAGTTTTTAACTGGGCACAGTGAATATGTGTGTCCTTGAGTGTTTGCAAGCTGTTTACAGAAATACTGTGGGTATTCTTTTTCTCCTCTCCTTCAGCTGGTTAACTATTAAAATACAAAGAATTATAGCTGACTGCTAAACCTTTAAACGCATGTTCACGCGTACACACATATGCACATATATGTACACACACGTATTGATGCCTGTGCAAGTTTCATTTTAATAAGAAACTAAATTAATTTAAAACAATATACGCCTCAAATATTTTACCTCCTTGTAAAGTCCTAAGAAGAAACCACCCCACTCTGAAGCACACTATGTTTTTTGTTTATGGTCTTTCCTCATAAGATAGGGTTTTTCCTTTGAATTCCAAATAATGGTGGTCAAATTGGAGAAAAAATGTAACTAAAAAAAGGGGAAAAAGGGAAACTGAAAAAGCAGAGATGCTGCTACCTTCAATATTTGTTTTAGTATGTAAGAAGGATGACTGAAAGTTTGTTAGTTGGACCAACTAGGTTGCAAAGCTCATTCAAATGCTGTAGCATAAAATATTAAATCTTTTTTGTTAAATAAACATTATCTTGCTGAAATAGTTCAGTTCTATCCATCTGGCTTTTTTTTTAGAGAAAATAGCACTAACAGATTTGTGAAAATTGTAATTAAAAGGAAAAGCCACACAAGTAACTTTGTGCCCTTGTGGC